TTCCAGACCTGAAGGGCAGCTAGGGGCCACAGTCTCAGTGGTTCCACCAGGCTCTATTGGACCAGCAAACCTGGTCCCCACCTTCTTTTTTTTTTAAAGCATATAAATTTTGATCACCAAAATGATCTAGGATTTTTCACATGAATTATTTTGACAACAGATTTTAAATGCATATATTAATTCAGTTATTCATTTGCTAAACTACTGAAATGCCAAGTTTGGATATTGTGTGAGCATATTAACTGCACATGACACAATTCTCCCACAGATGACAATTTTTTCCTAGTCTTCCACATCACTCACTTGGATCTGGTTCACAGGAGCAGTTGCTGACTTCCCCCAAGATGACGATGTGCTACTCCCCATCCTAAAAGGAATTAAAAAGGGTGGTGCAGTATAATAAATGTTAAAGATATAGTCACAAGCTCTGTTTGAAGAAAATTATTAGGTTTTTGCATATTAATGCAAATATTTATACATCCAAACTTTTGAAATAGAAAAAAACTGTACTTGTTATCAGTATATGTTATCTGCTGACAAAGTATTTGTTTACTAAAACAAAAAGGGCCTGTATGCTTATCTAACCAGCCTCTTAATTATTTGATAAAAACAACTGTTTGCTGTGTTTAAAGCCTAACACATTTCTATACTTGACCAATGAATTTCAAATATTATGTCTTATATTGACTGGTCATATGTCCTGATCTTTGGTTAGGAAAAAAATAGTTTCCCTACTCTTATTAAAACAGCCAAAACTCCATAACACTCTCTAAAGCAAGAAGTTTACGAAGACTCAAAGATTTTAAGAGAACTAAGGTATCTGAAAGGAGCCTGGGTGGTATGAGTGGTTTGCAATCAGCTGCTAACAGAAAGGTTGGCGCTTTAAACTCACTCAGTGGCTCCTCCATGAAAGAAAAGAGTAATCTGCTCCAGTAAAGATTGTTGTTGTTATGTGCCGTCGAGTCAAACCCGACTCATAGTGACCCCTCCTTGGGTTTCTGAGGCAGTATCACTACGGAAGTAGGATTGCCCAACCTTCCTTCCGAGGAGTGCTGGTGGGTTTGAACCGCCAGCCATCTGGTTAGCAGGCAAGTGTCTTAGCCACTATGCTACCAGAGCTCCTCAGTAAAGATTACAGCCAAGAAAACTCTACGGAGCAGTTCTCCTGTGAAATATAGCAGGTCGCCATGAGTCAGGGGCTGACTGGAAGGCAACTAACAACAAAATGGTATCTGTATATCAATGGTAATAGGAAAATATCCACTGAAAAGCTGACCAATTCAACAACATCAAATCTCTCTGCTTACCTCTAGAACATTTCTTCATCCACTTCATCTTTCTTGGTCAGCCAATCCCTAAAACACTGTTGGAATAATATCCAACATCATGATGCAAACTAACTGCAGATCAAAATTGTAAATCTTGTAAAATAAATTTCTAAGGATAAAGCAAGATTAAGAATTGATGCTTCATATATTTAAAAACTTGTTCTTTATGATTATATTGCAAACATCAAATTTTGATAGAAAAATTTCTCTAATACTTCAATTGTCTGTTGTTGTTGTTGTTACGTGCCGTCGAGTCAAACCCGACTCATAGCGACCCCTCCTTGGGTTTCCGAGGCAGTATCACTACGGAAGTAGGATTGCCCAACCTTCCTTCCGAGGAGTGGTTGGTGGGTTTGAACCACCAGCCGTCTGGTTAGCAGGCAAGTGTCTTAGCCACTATGCTACCAGAGCTCCCAACAATTGATTGTTAGTGTATTTAAAATTTAAATATTGTTAAATATAAGATAAAGTAAATGATTTTGCATGGCTTTTTTTCCCCCTGTACAGCATGAAAATTTAGTCCTGTTTTAAATCCACTCTGAATGGCCTGTTCCAGTCCACATCATCCTTGGATGAAGAGCATCTGCTCTATATAGTGACACTTGCACACTTAGAATAAGGACGCTATAACAAAGGCCACCTTCAGGAATAACAAAGAGGAATCAGAAAGGGAGATGGGAACTGCAACCAACAGAAAACATCATAACATTTCTTCAACTCCCCAATGTTTACAACCTTTATTATCCCTTATTTCCCAATAGATAAGGAAAAAAAAAAGGCCTGTGTGCTTATCTTAGGAAGAGGCTACCAGCAGAGAACTAAGGAAACTGCAGCCAACTTGGGAGGAGTAAAAGATGTAGCTTTAAGGGAAAGCAGGCAGCATTTCTGAAGACTATGTTGTTGTTATATGCCGTCGAGTCGGACCGACTCATAGCGACCCCTCCTTGGGTTTCCGAGGCAGTATCTATCACTACGGAAGTAGATTGCCCCATCTTCCTTCCGAGGAGTGGCTGGTGGGTTTGAACCACCAGCCTTCTGGTTAGCAGAACGAAAAGGAGGCTAGGAGATGGTGGCCTGATTTAAGAGGCCTTGGTGGAATAAGTCAGCCATCTGTTTGGTTTTTCAACTAAGAAAACATGTCATTCCTTTTCATCTCAAGTCCAGCATTTAATTGTCATCTCCAAACCAACTACTACAGCATTTTTACTGAAACAACAGATCCAGCAAAATTTCTCTAAGAGACTGTTTCCTTAGATGGTAAGGGTGCATTTTTAAGTATCACCCACTTACCTGACAATGAAAAAAAAATAAAATTTCTGGAAGGCACCCTACCCTTCTGTTTCTAGCTAAGATTGGTAAATGTTATCTATTAAAGAAAGGGCATCCAACAAAGAAGTACCCGCACAATAAGCATTTCACTTCAACATGGATGGAGCACGCATACTCATGCCTCTCTTCCTACATGCTAAGTAGAACAGCTTTATATAACCTAGCGGCACAGAACAGAATAACACAACCTGGCCTAAGGCATCTGACTGTTAACCAGAAGGTAGGTGGTTCAAACCTACCAGCCACTCCGCAGAAGCAAGACAGGACAATCTACTTCCATAAAGATTTACCACCTCGGAAACCCAATAGGGGTTGCTATGAGCACTCGAGGGCAGTGGGTTTTGGCTTCAAGAAACTCACTCACTGCTTTGGAGTCTACTCTGACTCATAGCTTCCCCTACTTGGGTTTCTGAAGCAGTATCTCTACAGAGGCAGATTGCCCAGTCTGCCTTCCAAGGAGTACTTGGTGGGTTTGAACCACCAATCTTCTGGTTAGCAGTCAAATGCTTTAGGCACAACGCTACAAGAGCTCCTTAGAGAAAGCACTATAGTTCCTATATTCAAAGGCATGCATTTAGAAGAGCGAATGTCTTCACTTCTTATGGTAGGACTGCCAGATTGAGAATTCTTAGGGGTTTGCACCAGGAATTTCTCATGAATGGCGGAAAAATCGTTTAGCTCGTGTGTACCATGTAATATTTGGGGCATATTTCGACTAAATGGTTATTTGCTGTTTATCTGAAATCCTAATTTAACTGGGTGCCCCGTGTTTTATCTGGCAACCAACAGTAGGGTTCAAGCGAACATGACTCAAGAACTTTCAACCCAAGAATCAGGGATCTAAAGTCAACACCACGACTTGGGCACCCCCGGCCCCACTGCCGGCAGCAACCACGCTCTCCCCACGCTTCTGGGACCTTACCGAAACGCCGCCAGGAAACAGGGGCAGCCGCTGCCGCTCTCCGAGGGCCTCCGCCTAGAACCCAGGGCCTACCAAACGCCGGCGGAGAACTCTCCCACCCACCGCGCCATGACCCCGGCGAGGGCTCCATACCAAGACTGCCCAGACCTGCCCGCCGTGCCCCGTACCCAGAGGCCGCAGCTCCCTCCGTCCCGCTGAGTCCTCCAGCTGAGCTGCTCCCGCTCCTGGCGAGCCGCGTTCCCACCAGAGCTGCACGGCGCCACGACATAGCCAGATAGCTAAGAGCGCAGTGAGCAGAGGAGCCCAGGGCCAAGGCCCGGCAGAGCCCGCCTCTGTCGGCTCACCACGCCCCGCGCGCCCTGCAGGCCCTGCCCTAGCCTTTCAGGCTGCCAGCGCCACCACGGGTTTCATCCGCGCGGTCGCTCATCCTCCCTCTCCCGCCAGCCTGGTCGCTGCTCGTCCGCAGCAGAGTCCGGCTAGCCCTGCCTACGTGTGTACATCCGTCGGGGCTTCCTTCGGCTCACCTACAGGTCTCCAGGGTTCATCCAAGCTCTGCATCTGTTCATTTAGGGTCAGGGAGCTCATAAAGGCTCTCAAACATGTGAAAAAAATGCGCGGGGATAGTGGCCAAGATTTTAGAGAAACGGAAGAGAAAAATAATGACCGTCCACAAGAAGATCAAAATGGATTTATAGCTGGAAGTATTTATAGCGTCATCACAGCTTCTTGTCAGACAGGTTTCTCTGTTGGTGAATAAGAACGTAAATATCTCACCTTAAAATTAGGTCATTGATCGAGAGCCCATATGAATCGCGCGAAGATATATATATATATATATAATATATATTTGTAATATATATATATTTCAGAGATTTGAAAAGTAATGCAATATAGAACCTTGTTTCCAAAGAAAACAATACTAAGTTTTCAGAAATGAAGCTGAAATTAGAAAATAAAACTTAAAATATAGCCCCAAAATATGTCGCCAGCCTTTGAAAATGGGTGAATGCTGCTAATAACATTTTCTAAGCCACACAGTAATGGTAATAATAGCCCTTTGTGCGTTGCTATGTAAAGTTAGGTGGGGCAGCATTTACTGAAAAGGACATTGAAATCGATTGGTTCAAAACAGAAGGCTAAATGGTGTGTATAAAATTCTACACAGTGATGAGAACAATTCAGACTTTTTTTTTTGATCTTTCATGCTCAACTAGCTAAATTTAAGACTCATGTAGCCAAGGGACAAAATGAGAACTGTTTGTGGTAGTTGTTTTTCGTACTTTCAAGCAGTGTATGTTTCATTACTTTATAAAAGGATGAAAATTAGTTTAAAGAAAAAAAATTAATATGAAGTTATTCATAAATCCAGAAATAACTATTAATATTTAAAGTAGGTTATCTATTTGGGTTTCTTAAGTTTTATTTTTTATTTTTACCTTTTGGCTGTTGTGAATAATGCTGCAATGAGCATTGTGTACACATACCTCTTTGTACTTCTGCTTTCAGTCCTTTTGGGTACATACCAACAAGTTGAATTTCTTGATCATATAATAATTCTGTCTTCAACTTTCTGAGGAACTGACACACTCTTCTACAGCACCTGCATTATTTAACAATCTCACCAGTAATGTAAGAAAGTCCCAATTTCTCTAACATTGTCACCAACACATTTTTTATTTTTGTTTTTTCATTTTTTCTCATAATAGCCATCATAATAGGGATGTATTTAAGAAATTTTACTGCTTTATCTTTGTTTTGAATTATAATTTTACCTGGTTATCTCAAATTGTTTTACAAAATATGACCATTATGAGGTGAAACAGTCGTGTTAGAATTAAATTTTAATACAGTGTTTGTGACCCATAGTAAGCAAATAATTATTGGACACATTTTTTAAAAAGGGATCCCAAAATGCATATACTTCAGGCAAAATTAAGCCTAATATATTCATAATTTTCAATTTCTTTGTGCTTCATGTGGCATTGTAATGATGACAATAGCACAATAAGTACAGTGGCTAAACAACTAGATAACAAGAATACTGACATAATGTGAAGAATTTAACAAATGTCACTGATCATTATGGCTGGAAACTGTAAAATGATATTGTGTTTTGCTAGGAATTTTGTCTCCAAAAAAAGAAAAAAAGAAGTATGCTGGCTGTTCCTTTTACATGTATTCTGTGAACCAAATGGGGGAAGGCCATATAGGTAGAACCTTATAATGTCAGTAATTCTTTTTTTTTCCCCTACAACTCAACATGGTCATGAGAAGAGTTCAAAAAAGGTGTCCATTAAACAATCCAACTTGACGACGATGAGTTTTGGTTTTAGAACTTTTTTAAAAGCTAAGTTTTCTGTTTGTTAAATTATCTATTAAAGGTTACATGATTTGTTTGGCACTAGGAGCAGGTTTATTCCCAAAAGAAGGTAGAAAGCAGCTAAAGTCAGTAAATTATGGGATCTTCTAATTAAATCAAATCATCTGTATCTTTTGGAAAGAGATGATGGAGAAGCTCAATATCATCAGTCACAATAAGGCCAAAGGCCAATATGGAACAGATCATCAGTTGTTCATATGCAAGTTCAAGTTAAAGCTGAAGATAATTAAAACAAATCCAAGAGAGCCAAAGTATGACCTTGAGTCTATCCCACCTGAATTTAGAGACCATCTCAAGAATAGATTTGATGTATTGAACAGTAAGGACTGAAGACCAGACAAGCTGTGGGATGACATCAAGGACATACAGGAAGAAAGCAAAAGGTCATTAAAAAGACAGGAAATTAAAAAAAAAAAAAAAATGGATGTCAGAAGAGACTCTGAAACTTGCTCTTGAACATAGAGTAGCTAAACCAAATAGAAGAAATGAGAGGAGCTGAAAAGATATCCAAGGGCAGTTTGAGAAGACAAGTATTACAATGAAATGTGCAAAGACCTGGAATTGGAAAATCAAAGAGAAGAACACACTCAGCATTTCTCAAGCTGAAAGAAGAAAAAATTCAAGCCTCAAACTGTAATATTAAAGGATTCTACAGGCAAAATATTGAACAACGCAAGAAGCATCAAAAGAAGATGGAACGAATACAACAGAATCACTCTACCAAAAATACTGGTACATATTCAGCCGTTTCAAGAGGTAGCATGTGATCAAGAACCAATGGTACTGAAGGGAGAAATCCAAGATGCACTGAAGGCATTGGCAAAAAACAAGGTCCAGGGACTCATGGGATGCTAATGGAGATGTTTCAACTAATGGATACAATGCTGAAAATGTTCACTCATCTGTGCCAAGAAATTTGGAAGACAGCTAGCTACCTGGCCAACCAACTGAAAGAGATCCATTTTTATCCTCATTCCAAAGAAAGTTGATCCAGCTGACTGCAGAAGTTATCAAACAATATCATTAATATCACAGTCAAGTAAAATTTTACTGAAGATAATTCAAAAACAGTTGCAGCAGTACGTCAACAGGGAGCTGCTAGAAATGCAAGGCAGATTCAGTAGATGACGTGGAATGAGGGATATTGCTGCTGATGTCAGATGAATTGTGGCTGAAAGCAAAGAATACCAGAAAAATGTTTACCTGTGTTTTATTGACTATGTAAAAGCGTTCGACTGTATGTGTCATAACAAATTATGTATGGATAACATTGTGAAGAATGGAAATTCCAGAACACTTAATTGTGCTCATGTGGAACCTATACATAGAACAGGAGACAGTTGTTCAGAACAAGGGAATATTGGGTGGTTTAAAATCAGGAAAGGTGTGTGTCAGAGTTGTATCCTTTCAACATACTTATTTAATCTGTATGCTCAGCAAATAATCTGAGAAACTGGACGATACGAAGAAGAACGTGGCATCAGGATTAGAGGGAGACTCATAACGACCTGCAATATGCAGATGGCACAACCTTGCTGCCTGAAAGTGAAGAGGACTTGAAGCACTTACTGATGAGGATCAAAGACTACTGTCTTTAATATGGATTACATCTCAACATAAAGAAAACAAAAATTCTCACAACTGGACCAATAAACAACATGGAGAAAAGATTGAAGTTGTCAAGATTTTATTTTACTTGGATCCACAACCAATGCCCATGGAAATCAAGAAATCAAGCAATGTTTTGCATTGGGCAAATCTGCTGCGAAAGACCTCATTAAGGTGTTGAGGAGCAAAGATGTCACTCTGAGGACTAAGTGCCTGATCCAAGCTATGGTATTTTCAGTCGTCTCATATGCATATGAAAGGTGGACAGTGAATAAGGAAGACTGAAGAACTGATGCATTTGAATTGTGCTGTTGGTGAAGAATGTTGAGTGCTCCATGGACTGCCAGAAGAATGAACTATTCTGTCTTGGAAGTACAGCTGGAATTATCCTTAGAAATGAGAATGGCCAGATTTCATCTCTCATACTTTGGTCATGTTTTCAGAAAGGACCAGTCCATGGATATCATGGAAGGATATCATGCTTGGTAAAGTAGAGGGTCAGTGAAAAAGGGGGAAGACCTGCAATAAGATGGACTGACACCGTGGCTCACTATAGCAATTGTGAGGGTGGCACAGGACCTGGCCTTGTTTCGTTCTGTTGTACATAGAGTTGCTATGAGCTGGAACCAACTTGCCAGGACCTAACAACATCAACAATAAAGATACCTTAAAGAAGAGCATGATTGTTAGCGCTAAAGGGTCAGCTATTGTATAAATATCCTAAGCTGTCATAATTAATTACTATAAACTTTGTGGCTTAAAAAAAAAAAAATTATTCTCAGTTTTGGAAGCCAGAAATCTGAAAGGTGTCAGGGCTAAGCTCCCTCTTGGAAGTTTAGGAAATAATTAACTTCATTCCTCTTTCAGCTTTTGGTGGCTCCAGATGTTCCTTGAATTATGCCTCCGTCTTTACATCACCTTCTCTGTGTGTCTGTTCTTCTCTGTGTGTCTCTCATAAGGACACATGTCTTTGGATTCAGGACCTGTCCGGATAATCTAGGATGATGTCATCTCAATATCCTTATCAGCAAAGACCTTCTTTTCCAAATGAGGTCACGCTCACAATTTCCAGGGATTCTACGTGGATATCTTTTGAAGGACGTTTCTCAATTTAACACAGCTATGTAACCCCAAATGATAAGAGAAAATCTGGTATTTCACTAAAGTCTTAGGTATTTTGTTTAAATTATGTAATTTTTGCATTATGCTCATATTTTGTCTTTGTTTTACTTTATTCATCATCTACGAGGTTATTCACTGGTATAAGATACCATAGTGAG